AAATATATATTCTTTGCGAATTTGAATCCAATTGGAATCAGCTTCCTTAAAGCTAGCACTAGCATTGAACATTGATCAATATGCTACACATTATATATATGAATATATTTATATATATATATTTTTTATTATATATATTTATATATATAAAATAAAATAAATATTATATCATAGACATATCATGTGTGATGTAAAATCCATGATAGGCCTCTTAAAAAAAATGCACATTGTTCAGGGACCATCTGGCATACTGCTGCAAGTAAACACTTTAGGGACCATCTGAAAATGTTTTGCATTCGTTGAAATATTAATCGGGTACAAGTATAGGAATCTAGGAGCAAAACGGATAAATGTTACCTAATCATTGTATCAGGATGGTTATAGCATTATTGTGCACTTTATAACCGCAAAGGAAAGGCGCAATATAAAATCAAATACCAGTACCAGTGCAGCAACAAATATCATCATCATTGGTGCTGTGTTTGGGATAAAGTTTGACCTATAATACAGAAGAGTAAAATGCACAGATGCAATTGGGAAAAGACCCAGACATAACAATTATTATTATAAAATCAGAAATATATTAAATGAAACATAAACATGTTTTAATAATGTAGTTCTTACCATAAATTCAATTTTGCCCACTCAAATAAGCCAGTTTACGTCATGTTTCATCTTGGGCAATAGATATTGTTGAAGGGTCTTGATTGGCTGTTGTGGTAAGGTGAGCGGGACATACCTGGCTGCTGGACATGGAAGTAGAGCTTCCGGAACTAGACTGACCAATGTTCGTAGTTCCTGAAAGGAAAGACAAAATAGTTTAATAGACTATACATAATAGCATACATAGACTATACATAATAGCATACATAATATTATAAAATATTTTGATAAAAAAAACAGAAAAAAAATAATGAGTAGGATAGTTTTAGCAGAAATTATCCATAATCTGTGAAAAAAAAAAAATTATGATTAATATAGTGCGTAATGCATATAGCCACTATATGCTTTGATGTTTGTAATGATTTTGAATTTAACAAGATATGATATTTGAGTAATATTAAAATATGTTAGTAACATATAATTTAATACTTATTATTTACTATTATTATTATTATTATTATTATTAATCTGGAGAAGAAATGTACAAAATAAAAAAATACTACATTAGATATTATCCATATTGTACATTATCCAACAATAATTTTTATTGACATGGGAATAATTTGGCTTATAAAGCCATTTTGTCCATGCCAACATTACCTATCAAATTAAGTGTTGCTAATAACAATTTCCTACACTAGAGGGAGCTATAACAATATAAATTTCTATTAGAATCATTACTGCAATATATCAATCAATCAAAAATAAGAAATAGGAAGGAAAAGAATAGGACGATAACATTTATATGAACCAAGTATCTACACCTATAACAATTGTGACTATTTATTGTTTTATTATGTCCATGACAACCTACTTATTATAATAAATATTATCATATAATAAATGTTAGTTCATCATTGTCATTCATATCATATTGCGTATGTTGTAGGTGTCTGCAAATACTAAACACTTCCCAAATGCCATTATATGCATAAAACATTTTTTTTTAAATGCCCCAATTTCATTAACAGCTGCTATTTATTAATTTCTAGGAATAAATTGTGTGGTCGCTAATGAAGAAATTTGAATATGATACATAAAAACATTAAATATTGGACGAATCAAGGATACTTAATTTCACACATTGAAATCAAAATGATTAATGAAATTGCGATAAACCTAACAAGCTTTTTGCAGTATCTAAGGGAATTTCAAGTTCTTAATTATGAACTTGGTGCATAATTTTCTAAGGTTACTTAGCAACAATAATAAACTCTATGCCTTGACTGTATGTTTAATGTTTCCTGCATGTGCAAACACTTGGCTGTTCATTTTGAACATTTAATCAAGATTGCTGCCTACTTCATGTTGAAAATAAAATAATTAATCTCAACTCATACTACATTATCTTTTTAATATACTTATTACAACCATTCTCAAAAAAAAAAAATGATTAAAACCACAATAGGCCTACAGTTATCATCTGAATATATGAAAAAACTTTTTTACAACTAAAGAGCATTTAAGGGGTAATGTATGGAAAATGGCTTGGTTCTTTAATCTCGTATAGAGGTGATGCCTTTGGCAAGTCTAAGCCTTCTAAGATACTAGCGATGCTATCTCCAATCTGATACAATAACCCAATGTGATTGGCAGAGCCTTACCACATGTCGTGCCACTCTCTATTTTATAAAGATAATCATTAATAAGATAATTAGAAATATATTAAATTATTAAACATGATTATATCTCGGAAATGAAATTACAAACTTGGATTACAAAATAATTAATTTTTAAATGTAAAGTTATGTTACACATGTTGTAGGATGTTGGTAGATATGTTGGAACGATAAATAGTTTGATAAAATGTAAATAATGTACAGTAATACTATTGTTAATAATACGTAATACTAATAAATTACTATATTTTAATCACTTGATTTATCAGTAGTCAATTAACATAGGCCTACATAAAAAATAATAAAATAATTAAAAAAAGGAAAGCCTACTGTGTTAAATTTACAATGACTATAGTGGGAGGTTGTTTGGTCATGAAAATTGTAGCAGTATTCCAGTAGCATGTCACCTAAACTTGTTAATGTTAATAATGGTGTGCATTATCACTAAAACTTCTTGATGCTTAAATGCATTGTTACTAAATTGTCAACAAAACTTGTTAATGTCACTTATAGTACACACTGTCACTTGCCATCAAAACTTGTTAATGTTACCTATAGTAAGGATTGTCACTTGCCGTTGCCAGAACTTGTTAATGTTACTTATATTATTCATTGTCACTTATTGTTACGACTACTTCTTTACTTTTGTCTCTCTACACACCTCTAATTACTACTACCATTAAGAAAGGTTTCCAAAAACAAAATGAGGATAAAACAATGGGAAATACTGCACATTTTACTTTTACATTTTACATTTTACTTTTATTACTTTTATTGCTATTATTTTATTGCTATTATATATTTTATATTTTATATATTTTATTTATTTTTTTTTATTGCTATTACATATTTTCTAAATATGCCTTTTATAATTTTTTCTCTTAGTTATGTGTATTAATTTATAATTATTGGAATGTACATTATATTAAATCTTCAATTATCTTGTTTCTTTAATTTAATACATATATATTTAATTTATATTTAACTTTGATATTTATTGTTTTTTTTTAAATTACGTTTTAAATTTTTTTCTGTTTATTAGGTTTATTTTAATTCTATTTAACGTCTTAATTATTTACTTTTTGTAATTGTACTCTATTGTTTTTGCTTTGTATGTATTTGAGGGTCCCAAATGATCAGCCCCGGCTGGATGGACCACCCTCACAAAATATTTTTGAATAAAATAAATAAATAATAAATAACTCATTACCAAAATCAATACTGTACTTAATTTGGGAAGTAGCAGACGATATTGGGATGTTTTTTTAGTACTACGCAAACATATTTTCTTTCGCTCTGTATTACACCCGACATGGGAAATCATTGATTTTCTGCACTAATCCATCCATTTTAACACCTATATTACGGTTTAATGTATTTACTTTGAATTCTATATGCTCCAACTGAAAACAAATTTGTGTGAATTAGGCTTATGGCTTTTAAAAATATGATAGACATCAATTAAACTAATTAATTTGTTGTGATACAAGTGTCATAATTTCCCAGGTTATTATGAATGAAGACCGGTTTGTGGAGTTTTCAGTTAGTGAAGCCAACCGAGACTGATCTTATGTTTGAAACTGTTCAATACAAACTAAATGCTCACAAAATGGGCCTCTTGTGTTCTGGGTCATTGTCAGTTTACTGGCCAATGCGAAAAACCAATGGAGCACTTTACGCATGATTATAGTCAATAATTAACCCGGACTAAAAGCTAACTCGTACGGTAATTGGACGGTTTAAATGTAAGCTAAGTTATCAATATTCTGTCGCTTGACTGCTCACTGTTGTTGAACCAAGTATTGCACTTTTAGCTGTTAGTTATAAGGAAAAACATAAACGGTGCAATGTTTACAAGTCAACAGATACTTGGATAGAAGAATAACCTAATATGATACTTTAATCTCTACTTGAAACACTAATAAAATACACATACTTTTGATTAAAGAATTATGTAATGTTGTCATCGTATTCATAGAAGCTGTGTTACAAGCTTTACAATTGACGATTATTTTCAGAATGCAGATGTTACTGGCAACCAGAATTAAGTTGCAACTTTTATGTTTGTGCATCGTTACCACTCAAAACAAAACTGAATTCATATAATTAACTGATCTCAGATAAAACACATTATAATATCAATAAAGTATTTTCTTTGCAGGCTTACATTGAACTTACTGGGGTCACTTCCGTAAGACAAGAACGAGCAATACCACAGGGTGGGAGCTAAACTTTATTTTCGTTGTGAAATTCAATGCCAATATTCTCCACAGACAGCATGTGAGTGAGCTAATGGCAATTGGGCAAGTCGCACACCTTACTACACCTTATTATAAAAATCACTGTCAAAATGATATATACATTACATGGCAAATGGAAAAATACATAACAAAAAAAGCATGAATTATTACTAAACGTTATTATTACTAATCATTATTAGTAATTTGCATTATTTCAGGTCCATTTATGGGTTTTTAATATTTTAAACTTTATTTCAAATATCAAAAATAAATAGGTAATTCTGTACACATAAGAATATTCTTTCTTGCAGACAAAGCAAAATTGTAAAAATTAATTCGAACTAAACAAACAACATGGAAAATTCACTATGATTTTACTAACCAAATGAACAAATAATACACAATAATTACAATTAGGCCTAATACAAAAATATAAATTCTATCTGGTTTCTCTATAGTGAATTCACAGTGTAATCACAAATATCCGGGGCAATTATACATTACAAACATGTGTCTATTCCTATTAAGGTGTTTAACAGACCTATCTATTGTGATCTGTGCAAAGTAACAATGGGAAAATACCCTAAATAACACAAATTAATTACTCAATTAACTCCAGGCACCAGAACCCTCACTGGTTTGTTTTCACAGGATTAGTGAGCGGTTAGTGAAAACTCACCAAGAACCCCTATATTTTCCATGTTACCAGACGAACAGCTGATACAGTCTTTAAGTAAATGTTTCTAGTTCATTTGTTTGAAGCAATAATTAGAAGCGGTGTTAACCCGGTCCAAGTACACCACTTGACCAGGTGTTCGACTGTGGTTTAACATTTTCTTTGATTGCTAATCATCTGTTAAGTTTGACTTTTCCTGGCTGAGTAAAGCTCAAGGAACTGTATTTTTGATCGTGGCAGACAGACTTGTCTGGGAAAGTATGGATAGGCTGCAACCTAGTTGTCAAGGTGAACTCTTATAACAAAGTACAGTATGGTGGTTATGCCTATGGCACCTTCCTAGAGCTCTGCATCACTAGTGGTTAAAGGTATAAAAATGTTTCAATCAAACACACTGAATACACGCATTAACAGGCATTTATAATAAGACTCACAATTAATCAAATTAAATGGAAAAATTGCAACACAAATACTGTACAGTACTTGAATATAATCCTTATCATTATGTATAATGGCTTAATACTACAACAATAGTAGAATTTATACACCACCTCAGGTCTACTAGGCTTAGCATAATACATATACTACCTACAGT